CCAGCATCTGCTACCCAGACTTTCCATATCCCAGCCTTACCTGAAGAGGATTACAACTGGACATGGAGTTTCCTACATCCCCTTGCTTAAAGTACCATAGCGAGGCCGGGAATAAGACTTTCAATCAATGGCCAGTCTCTTGCGGGACAATTGCACATGTGCAGTTCTTCCAGTCCAGCAATGATCTTCTCGATATCTGTTGTTGTTGTTGTTGTTTGTTGTTGTTGTTGTTTCCATGGTTGAGTGGGGATTCAAACTCTGGTCTGCAAAATCCTAGTCTGTCACTCTATCCACTACACCACACTGGGGATCCTATTCCACTGCTACCTCTATCTCTAGGTCATAGAGAAAAAAGCAAGGAAGCATGGACATTTTGAAGCCCTCTGCTTCTGGGCTTACAGCATCTCCTAAGCTGCTGCTTCTCTCTCTCTCTCTCTCTCTCTTTTATTTTTCATAATCACTGTCACATAGGTATCTGTGGAGTTTTAATGTCTTCTGTTCTCTCACACTGAATGTGTTGATGGAAGAATACATATGGTGAGGAGAGCTGTTCTTTTAGAAAAGTGCTGAAAAACTGTCAAAACCCCAGTTGTCTGTTGCAAAGAAAGATGACAGCAGTTGTTCCAGATCATCTCTGTAGGACTTTGTGCAAAGCAGAGGTCAAGGCTACACATGTGATAATATGACAGGAAAAGAAAAGCATTCCAACTGAATTGTGTGGAGACAATAGACTGGTGTACGTCCTATTTCTTCCATGTGTGTTTGGGTCTGCTTTTGTGCATATCAGAGGGCTATTGATAAGATTTTAAATTTCAAGCCAAATTTGAGATAAGATTTTGATCTTCATTTAATGGCTTGCATGTGCTTCTGTTGATTAATTGATTTCTTAATAGCTCCCTTACATGTACAAGTGCATGGAGCTGTAAATAATTCATCATAAATAATTGTGTCTCTTCTTATATTTTAAATTATACAGCGTAATTTCAACAAAAGCTTTCTCTCTTTTCTCCAACATTTGTTTTCTCCGAATATGCAGAATTCCTTTATTCTTTTTCTATCCATTTAATTTACATCTCCCATGTATGAGCCTGTTCAGACTTTCCCAGCTGATACTCTTCATAAATTTTGTTGTTCTTGCTCTTGCTGTTGTTGTTTTGACCTATTGCCACCCCATAGTGCTAAAGCATTCTTTGGATGGTTTACAATATACTTATGCAAACAACAACTTGCCTCCCCCCCAAGCATGCTGGGTACTCATTTTACCGGCCTTGAAAGGATGGAAGGTTGAGTCAACCTTCAGCTGCCTATCTGAACTCATTGGGATCGAACCCAGTTGTAAGCAGAAGCTTAACTGCAGTATTGCAGTTTAACCACTAGACCGCAGCACTTCAGGTGTTGGACTGAAATTCCTGTCATCTACTTGCCATACTGATAGGGGGATTCTTGGACACATAAACCAAAATGGAAACTTTCTAGATTCTCACCCAGGGTGCAATGGACTGGAGAAGACTGATCTTGATGTGACAAGATAGAGGGAGCTAGGATGTAACTCATGTGTGGAAGGTACAAAGTATGCAATGTTCTTTATGTAGAGGTCATCAGGTGTAGGCTAAAGTATCTCTAGGTCAAACTGGGGAAAAGGTCTTAGCCTGAATCCCTGGAGGGGTATAGTTAGTCCGTGCAGAAATTATGGTGCCAGACGGAGAAATGCTTAGATCAGTATCTTATGTTCATTGTTGTTGTTTAGTCGTTAAGTCGTGTCCGACTCTTCCTGATTCCATGGACCAGAGCACATCAGGCCCTCCTGTCCTTATGTTCATTAAGGACTTTCATACAGTAGCTCAGTGGTAGGGGAAGAACATATATTTTACACAGAGATGTTGCCAGGTTCAATCCCTGGTGTCCCAGGATAGAACTCGGAAATATTTCTGCCTGAACTTTTGGAGAGCAAATGTCACTTAGTGTGGATTTGCCCCACCAACTGGGGGACATTTCTACCCAGGCCTAATTTCTAGTCCTCACTAACACATAGTTATCTGAAAGGAGGGAGGGAAAGAGGAATATGTTAAGCTAGCAAAAGTCTTCACCAGATCCCATTTATTTTCTTTATTTTACTTATTTTTATTCCACCTTTCTCCTTAAGAAAGGACCCAAGGTGACTTACATAATTAAAATACAGTATTTAAAGCTAAGAAAGGAGAGTATACAAATGTGAAAAGGATCAAAAAAATACCATATTAAAAAAACATAACTGACACCAAAAGACATTCCGTGAAAAGGATCAAACAAATACCATATTAAAAAACATAACTGACACCAAAAGACATTCCAAGCAGTAAGGCATAAGAATCCATTTTTAAAACCCTACTCAGTCACGCAGGGAAAACTTGCCCGAAGAGAAAGGTCTTCTTCCTCTTGTGGAAGGAGAACAAGGATGGGACCAGCCTGGCCTCCAGTGGGAGGGAGTTCCAAAGTCTGGGAGCAGCCACAGAGAAGGCCTTCTCCTATGTTCCCACCAAGCAGACCAGTGAAGGTGGTGGGACTGAGAGAAAGGCCTCTCTTGATGATCTGAACACCTGGGCAGGCTCATAAAGGGAGACACGGTCCTAGAGATAGCCGGGGCAGTAAAAATATAGGTTAAAACCAACACTTTGAATTCAGCCTGAAAAGGGTTGGCAGCCAGTGGAGCTGTTGTAACAGGGGGCTTATGTGAACCCAGTGTCCGGGACCAGTCAACATTCTGGCTGCCACATTTTGTACCTGCTGAAGTTTCCAGACATTTTCAATAGGCAGCCCCACATAAAGCGTGTTACAGTAATCCAGCCAGGATGTAACTAGGGTCTGTACCAGATCAAATCTCTCCAGAAAATGAGCATTGCTGGCATGCTAGTTTTAATTGTGTAAATGCACTCCTGGAGACTGCCGAGACCTGGGCATCTAGGCTCAAAGGTGAACCCGTGAGTGCCCCGAAAATGTGCACCTGTGTTTTCAGAGGGAGTGTAACCCCATCCGGCACCGCCTGCATCTTTGTCCCTTGATCTGTCTCTCAACAGACCCATTTGATTCTCTTACTGCAGGCCACACATCTCATACTTTGGGATGGGGAACAATTATGATGAAAAATGCTTGCGAACAATTTGCTGGATCAGGAGATGCCCTCTAAAACAACAATGTGTACATGAGAAAGGTGGAAGTGCTACGGCTGGTGGTGATTTTCCTTTCTAACACACAGTCCAGTCCATTAGAGACTCAGCTGTTATATGTCTCCCCGATGCATAGTAAGCGAACATTTTCAAACACTCGTTTATGGGGTGGCCGTTAATCAAATTTTCGATTAAACTGAAATTCCCCTGAAACGGTGCAGCAGAGCCGTATTAATGCTGGAGGGGCATTAAAGGTTTCCTGATGTAATCCAAATTAATAATGATTTGCCCGTATGTATAGTCACCTCTGTCAAGTTGAGAGACTCAATTTTGCATTACCCTTTTCATAAACGTACGTTAACCACAGATTCATTAGCGATAGGGTTGGAAAGCGCCCCACATATATATGCCAAAAATGTAATTACCCATTCTGATTTCAAACATGAAAACCCTGCCTCAGATGTATAAAGAATTTGTGGTGTTTCAGTTCCTCACCGAGGGAAATAATAGATAAATAGGATTTGATTATGAGTCAGGCTCTTACAAACCTTTATACTGTACCTGGTCTGATCTGTAGATTAATTGCTTGCTTACTTACCTAATGTACCAAGATCCCATCCTTCAACAATAAGTTTTTTTTCTTTGTTTCTTAAATATATATTTCTCACATACTGTACATGATAGAGCTGCAATGAAATTCAGTTAAAAACAGAAGCACACAATTAATGGGCACCAACGGGAAGATATAACAGCACTGGATTGGTTTAAAAACCATACAATAGGAAATCCACTTGGATATAATGAGTACAAAATATAGTTGGAAGGACTAGCGAGAAGGATCTGGCCTTCAAGGACTTCCTTCTGGGGAGATGGGGATGAGACACAGTCATTAAGGTAAAGGTAAAGGTTCCCCTTGACAATTTTTGTCCAGTCGTGTTCGACTCTAGAGGGCGGTGCTCATCCCAGTTTCCAAGCCATAGAGCCAGCGTTTTGTCCGAAGACAATCTTCCGTGGTCACATGGCCAGTGCGACTTAGACACGGAACGCTGTTACCTTCCCACCGAGGTGGTCCCTATTGATCTACTTGCATTTGCATGCTTTCGAACCGCTAGGTTGGTGGGAGCTGGGACAAGCGACGGGACCTCACTCCATCATGTGGATTCGATCTTACGACTGCTTGGTCTTCTGACCCTGCAGCACAGGCTTCTGCGGTTTAGCCCACAGCACCACCACGATCTGTTTACCACATGTAAACAGATCAAGTCAGAATATATGTCCTTACAAGAGCATTATGCATAAATTATGCCATTATGAATGCAGTGGAAGTGGAAACGAATTCATGATCAGAAAACTTGGCTCTGGCACTAGAAGGTGGTCAGAAAAAAAAAGAATAAAGCAAAATATGATGTGTACTGCTTATATACCACCCTATAGCACTTAAAGCACTTTCTGGGTGGTTTGCCATTTGATTATGCAGGCTACACATTGCCCTCCACCCTCAGCAAGCTGGGAATTCAATTTCCTAATCTTGGAAGGATGAAAGGCTGAGTGAACCTCAAGTCGGCTGCTTGGGGTTGAACCTAAGTCATGAGCAGAGTTTTTCACTGCAGTACCGCAGTTTAACCACTGTGCCACAAGGCTCCTATGATTACCGCTGAAGTTGTTTGCAAACCTTTGAAGCAGCTTCACATTTCTATCAAATGAATGCAGCGTGACTACTCCAAATCCGTGTAGCCGTGCAGACTTGTACAAATAGAGCTGCTTCAAGACTGGTCATCTGATGTTTATCATTTGTTCCCCATCTTTGACATTGCTAATGGATTTTTATAACTTAGATTTTCTGTTCATTCCCTGTAGGATGAAGTTGTTGATGAACAATATTCCTCTTCTTGTACTTGAGGAAGAAAAAACACAGGGAAAGCCAAGGTCAGCGCCCAATCTTCCCCTCCCCCTTGTGTTAATTCAATTTGTTTTGTCCTTGATATATGATTTCTTTTTCCTGTGAATGTATAGTATGCATTGATCCTAAATGGTTCTGTGTTGTTTCTTTATCACAGAGCGATCATGGGACTACTCTGTTTAGGCAGGTGGCATTTCCGTAAATAAAAGAGAAACCATTTCCAGTAAGTCATCTTATTATGGTATATCAAATTATAAACTGCTTAGGATAATTGAGGGAAGATTCTATTTCTCTTAGTTTCTTATAGACTACCAGCCTTCAGTAATGATTTTATCTTTCTATTAAAATTGATTCCTTAGCTTTCGTCTAGAGCCTTTTGATTTATTGCTTCTCTTAGAGACAAAGCATGTAGAAGTATCTTTTCCCGATTGATGTTAGGGAATAAAATCATACAAACAAGCATATTCTTATCCAGGGATGAGAAGCATTCCGTTTTGGGGGTTGATCTCCCTCGAATCCTACCATTCACATGACCAAAAAATGCAAGTACAGTGGTTACCTCGCATGACAGTTTTTTTGCTAGACATTGCGATGGGCAAAACAGTGATTCCTAT